TCCATTAAAATACTGTCACAAAAGCAAGTCAATGCTTATCAGTTAGTCATGTACATAATGCTGGTCATAAAGCTACCATCTAAATTGATTCCTGATGCTTTAACGAGAGCTTAGGTATTATCATTTAGTATGCAATTACAAGATAATTGTTCAAGAGTATATTTTCTTTGATTTAATTTGAGTTTACTTTTGAAGTATAGTTTTGTCCATTGTCATTATTTACGTACAAAAACAATCATTTTAATCAGGAGGGGTTTTGTGGAGATTTCAGTATTTTCATAGTTGAAAGCATGAGCCAATTGAAGCTAGATCACAAAGGAAAACCTGGAAGCACTGGACGGCTGTTGTAAGATATGAACTCACTGAAGACAATTGGTGAATGGTTACTCAACTTCGTGGATCGGTTGAAGTTAGACATAAACATCATCGGATGTCGGCTCAGTGGTCTATCGGTTAAGAGCTCTGACGCGAGACTGGTAGGTCCTGGGTTTGAATCTCACTGGGCGGTATCGTGGATGCGTAATGCTGAGGAGTCCGACAATAGGACGAAACGGCCGTCTAGTACTTCGAGGTTTTCTATGGTGGTTTAGCTTCAATTGACTCATGTTTTCAACTTTAAAAGACAATCATTTTATTGAATACTTTGCAATTACGTACAATAAAAGAATGTCATAACGTTTCAATTTGACTTCTTATAGAAATTACAAAATAATAGCCTGAAGCTAAGATAAATGTAAGGTATACATTCATTCATTATAATCTAATTATACACATATAAGCTGTTGGTTTTTTTCTTTTCCTTCATGATTTAATTCATTTTTACACATTTACAATAGAGTTGACTCAACTAATCTTTTATTTATCATGTTTTTTTCTTCTTTTCTTAAAACCATAACCTTTACTATTAACATTATTATTCTTATTCAAAGCTAAACTATTCTACTCATATGATTATGATGATTGTATTATGCTGATAAAGTTTGTATAATTGAAATTATCTTTGTTGTTGTTGATAGTATTGGTGATGTCGGATCCATACATGATTTATCTACTTATTAATCATTTAAATGATTAATACCCTTTATATATTACTGACCCTTATTCATCAGAAAATTAGAATTTTCATTTGATTTCCAATTTCCTTCTTTTTATGAGTTTATACCTTTCTTTTAGTCATATTTTTCATTTTTGGAGCTGTCTCTATTTCTCTAGTTATTCTTTTTCTCCCTTATTTCTATTCAATATGTTTATATTACTGTAATACAAACATGTGTCTATCATGGTGGATATATTTTATTATTATTATTTATGAAATAATACGTAAATAAACATCAATAACCGGAAAAATATACAACCCCCCCCTCGAAAAAAAATTGAACATAAATATCTACTGAAACCTGGTACATGTTTGTGTGTTTGTGTGATATAGAGAAAAAAATTTAAAAAAAATAAATCAGAATACTGAATGACAGAAATTAAAAAAAAACTCACTAGGTAATTCAGTGATTGTTTTTTGTTCCCCTTTTTTCCTCATAAATCAAAAAAGCGCATATTTATTTATTTATTCATTTAAAATGATTTTATATATTACAAAAAGTGAGCATTATATATATAGATAGATATATACATGTATAAGAGTTGCTCAACCACAAATTGAGTATGTATTTCCTTTAATAAATTCAATGTTTTTTTTAAAAATTAATTTCCAGTTCATTACAATTATGTTTTTTAGACATTAAGTAAATAAAGAGTGAATCTTCTTAGTGTTCTCTTGTCTTTTGTTTTATTTTATTATTCATCATACATTGTTTATTGAAAACGATTGGTATCAATTGTATCATTATTTTAATAGTTGAGATCATGAGTCAATGGAAGCTAGAATACCATGGAAAACTTGGAAGAACTGGAATGCCGTTTTGGCCTACTGTGGGACTCCTTAGCAGTACGCATCCACGATCCCGCCTCTCGAGATTCGAACTCAAGACCTACCAGTCTTGCGCCAGAGCACTTAATCGATGGACCACTGAGCTGGTACCCAATGGTGTTAGTGTCTAACTTCAAACAATCCAAGAAATTGAGCGAAACATCTATCGCTGTCTTCAATGATTTACTATCTCACAACAGATCTGGTTGGACTCCATTGGTCACTGCTTCTCACTAGAACTCCAGGAAATACCTCTTGAAGCTAGTCACTAGTGAGCATATGTTGATTAATATCAGAAAGGGTTTTTATGGATATTATAGTAGTAGACCACTATGAGCACTGTTGAGGAGTTCCACAATAGGATGAAATGGCAGTCTAGTGCTTGCAGATTTTCCATGGTGGTCTAGCTTCAATTGACTTATGATTTCAGCTATTTTAAAAAACTATAATATCCACAATAATCCCTTCTGATATATATCATTATTATTAGTTATTTTCAATGCAGAATAATTTCTAATTTAAACAAAAACAAAAAAAATAATATTTTGTCCATTAAATTGGTACTTTTACTTCCTGAAAGAATTATACACACATGTATACATACATGTTGTCAATAGTTTACCCTAAAAGTAATAAATATTAATTAGTTCATAAATACCTAACTCAAGTCCAATGATACAAACTTATTCGTTAATTTTATGTATTCAACTCAATGAATCATAATTAATGAATCATATTGACAATAATTTGAATTTGTAAGTAGTCTATATATGAATCATTGAATATTATTATTATTGTTATCTATATTAATGGTTATAACGTTTTATTACTTGTTTCCTTTCTACAATTATTCATTGTGGTTAATAAATACTTACCCTATTTATATTACTGTTGTCTAATAGAAATAAATAGTATTTTATTTGTTTACAGTAAATTATAAAAACAAAATAAAAAAACAAATGATAAGTTTTTAAAAAAAAAGTACTTTGCATTTAAGGGAGAAAGTTCATCTACCTTCTTTTACTTATTGTATATCAGGTTTAAGTGTTATTGGAAACGAAATATTAAAGTAGTTTTGAGTGTATTAACTCTTAATTCATATTAACTATAGATTGGTTAATAATGTGAATGACTAGACAATTTAGATTAATCTTGATTGATAAAAGTTTTATGCATTTTAAAAAGCTGAAAAGAAGATTTGAACTCACTGTTGTATTGACCATCGTTGATATATTTATGATTCTTTAATGGAATTCGATGGTTCATGAAACGTATTTTAAATTGTAGTGAACAGAACACGAGTGCGGACAATGAAATGTATTTCACACGGAATTTACAAACCATCTCACTAAAATGTGACAACCGTGCAGTAAACAGTTAAACTTGCAAATTATCAATCAATTGTCTCAATCTTAACTCTTCCTTCTGCTAATATCAGTTCGTCTTCTCTGATTTCATTGTTCATTCATTTTCGTACCGATTGCGCATCATTTCTGTTCTTTCCTTATCGATCTTCTGCCAAAATACATTCTATGTCTGACCATCACCATATACTACTTATATGGATATAAGTAGAGCACACCACAAAATTACCAAGCTTAATAATAAAATACTAAATATCTAAGATTTTGATTAATGAATTAGATAATATATTTTTAATATCTTAATGAATGAAAAATTAAATTTATGTCATTTTGCTACATGATGTAACCTGCTTTTTCGAAGTAAATCCGGGTAATCAAAGTCATCAAAGATTGTAACTTACAATCCAAAATTATATGATGAAAGTATATTTTCATAAATGAGAAATGTTGCGTTCTAATAAGTGGTTGTCTAAAATACTTTCACCGGTAAATCTTGAGATCCAGTGATAACACTGGAGAACTATACAGCTGTTTAGTAGTGGTTACTATCATCAAGGTCTATGCACATAAATCTTCGTGTTTTGCTTCAAGCGTAATATAAAGGATCTTTTTTTGTATTTCAGTTATCTGAAACCAAAGTTATAGATAACTCATTGAATTTAATATTGATGGTTTTGGTTTCTATCGTGTATGCGCACTGCTGAGGTGTCCCACAGTAGGACGAAACGGCCGTCCAGTGCTTCCAGGTTTTCGATGGTGGTCTAGCTTCAATTGACTCATGATTTCAACTATATATAAAAATCACTTAAAATCTCCACAGAAAACCCCCTTTTATCTTTTGTGAAGTTGTAGGTTAACATGCTCCTGATAAGTCCCAAACTAGAATGAAACAACAGTTCATGATTTTCTGTTGTTGTTTTTTGTTACTTTTGTACCAGCTAAACTCAATTCATTATGGTAATATATATCACACTTCCTTATTTGTATTGTTAACATTATTGACAAAATCAGAATTTCATTATCTAAACTATTTGTGCAAAAAGCAACAACAACAACCGGTTATTGTCAAAACAGAGATTTTGTGAATAGGTCAAATAACGTTAAAATCTAGGTCATTCATTATAATTAAAATAAAAATATGTCACACCTAATTACATCAACAAAAAAATGTATATTAGATAGGTAAACATGATGTTACTTAGGTATACATAAATCAACACAATATTATCTAATTTTGATTTGTCCTGACAGTAAATGTGTTAAAAGAATTTTTGACATATATATATATGATGATGTTAAGACAATTAAGTAGGCTCTTATTCCATCATTTACACAATTAAACTAAAATAAACCATTGAACAATCCTATTTGAGGTATGTCAATTTGTTTATATGACATTTCTTAATACATCAAAACAGAGAAATTTTACAATACACCATAGAGATGATGTGTAGAACATTGTTTGAACTGACAATCTTAAACCATCTTTCTTTTCTTTTTTCTTTTCTACACCATAATTCATTATTTCAGTTGATATGTTGATTAGAATTTGAAAGGTTATAGATACACACACACAAACTGAGTAATCCCCTACTTATTGTTTCTCTCATAACTATTAAAATTTTAAATTCATAAGCATATATATTTGATTAGTTTTTAGTGTTATGAAACCAGGTTTGATAGATATATTTCTCTTTGTGTTCTTATTTTAGTGAAGATCCAAATGATTTAAATCTCCAAGAACGTGCATGGTGTCCAGATGCTAAGGTTGGCAAAGAACTTCGTGAATTTATGGAAATTGACTTAGGTCGTCAAAGTATTATCAAGTTAATTATAACAAAAGGTCGAGTAGCTCAAAGTAAAGTGAGTTTCATATTGATCAAATTAGTTAACAAATTAAGGAATAAAAACACTACAAAGGTGAATTGTTCGATATTGCTTATTGCTACAAAATTTAAGACTAGTAAATTAAATGATTTAACACTCAACGAAATTGCAAATCATGTCTCAAAAACATATCTGCAACTGCATAAAACAATTCGTACTATGCTTAACGTTTATTCTAATCTAGGTAACACAACTATTATCACGACCTCTATTCCAACAGAGTTGTCGTTAACCGTGGTACTGTTTGATGTTTACTAGTGACACTACTCTGTTGGTCAACAAATGTAGCATGAAACTAAATAAAGGGTCAAAAACTCGTATCACAAAGGAATCAAGTGTAATCCTACTTACTATTTAACAACTTTTACATATGTCAGAGAGAGTTTTGTGAATATTATAGTAATTTGGATAGTTGAGATCATGAAGCAGGAGTCCCATAATGGGAAGAAATGGCCGTCCAGTGCTTCCAGGTTTTTCATGGTGGTCTAGCTTCGGTTGATTCATGATCTCAACTATCAAAATTTTTACATACGTAAACAACAATTGACAAACATCTATTATTCTGATACGTTATCATTTACAATAAATTGATGTTGTAAAACAAATAATATGACACAGGTTTATACTTCATCAATTCTTACTGGTTTATAAATAACTGTAATTTACAAAGTAGTCAGAAATCAAATCTTCATGATAATTACTACTAGTACCATAGTAATATTGTAATATAGTATAGTAGAACGATAATAATGAAGCCTTGGAATATAATTGGCAAATTATCCATTTTGAGCTATAACAATTAGATTCCTTTGAAAAAAGTATTTTGTTTGTATGCTCTGATGATAAATAGCAAGTAACGGGGTCAATAAAAGAACCAATATATTTTTGAAGATACAATGATACAGATCATCTATTGTACAAAATTCCACGCGGGATCCGAACCCAGGACCTTCGGTCTGGCGCAAAAACAGAGACCCTGGATGCGCACAGCTGACGAGTCCCATACTGGAGCGAAACGGCAGCCCAGTGCTTCCAGGTATTTAACGGTAGTCTAACATTGATCCATTCATGACATTAATCTAAACTCAACAACCTCCACAATCCTATACTGATATAATATAATTGTCATGAAAATATTCAATAAACCCAGAAAATATCATTCACTTAATATTTGTTTAACTTTATCAATAATTTATTTTATGAATATTTCTAAAAGTAAACTAGAACTATTTCATGACTTCAAATAACTTTCATGTTTTGTGTTCAACATTGTTGTTTCTTCTTTCTTTTTTTCTTTCTTTAGAAAATGTTACATAAAATATCTACAACGCTAGAGTTTTAAATTTCCTTTCCTTCCATTTTTCTTTCTCTCGATTTTAAATACTGTTACTGGTTTTTTTCTTTCTTTCTATAACTATCCTTCTTCTTATTCTGCGTTTATTGAGTAATAGTCTATTATAAAAACTCCCAAAGGCATTGTTTCAACAATCGATAAAATGTTGGATATCATGTCTATATTTGAATAGACTGTTTTTTTTTACTATATATTAGTAAGTATATTGTAAGGCGAAGTTTATGGGTATTTTGGAAATGAACGAGTTCACATACCATTAGAAAATTCATAAATGATCACTATATTTCATTCTAGTTTGTAGTTGTAGTAGTAGTAGTAGAAAATATATTGGTCATACTCATCGAAGTCTGTTAATCAACAAGATAAATGGAACAGTTGTACATTTTCATAATTAAAGTGTTATTAGTGATATAGAGAACTGTCATTTCTACCAAATGATTACATTGATCCTACAGATCATAATCAGGGTATCTATTTCTACCACGAAGGCTGAGAGCAGTTGTCAATAACTTTACAAATCGATGCCATATATGAGTATAACCTTTCAATTTTTCTTGATCAAATCAACTTTCCTTTTTATAAAGAAAATCTGAAAAACTTTAGATCACATGAATATGAATTGAAAAGTGTATTTAAACAATACTCGTTTTTTCATAAGCTGATAATGTATGCTTTCTTAAATAGAGTTAGTTGATTCAACGATATGATATTTAACAAAAGAGCATGAATGTTTACTGGTTATAAAAAACCAAGTTTTCAGAAGACTGTTTGTTTTTATTTAATAGGCGTTATTATTATCAGAATTATTTATATATTTTTATGAAGCAAATAAGAAACCGATTACTATAGAGAAATTTTGATGTAAATGAACCACATGATATGATATTCACTGGTTAATTATGACTGAAACTATTATCAACATATCACCTGATGTGTAATCTGATGTGCATATCATTCAAATGTATGTACTCATACACTACAGAGTTAACAATATGCAATTAGACCTTTTGTCATATCTTTGGGAAACATCAAAATCTTTTATGTTGAACAATACACGCAAAACGTTTCATTTCAAACTATTTACTTGATAGGACGATACGCGCGTACGTTGGAAGCGAAAGGTACTGGGTTCGAGTCCCAGAGTGAACATCAACTCTGAGATGCAGTTACATCCATCTGACGAGTCCCAAATAAGACGAAACGCGCGTCTAGGATTCCACTGCTAGCCACTATCCTTCTTTGCTTATAAAGCTTGTGACTTCAGGCAATATCGAGGCAGTCCTCATAGGATGCACATATGCCAACAAGAGACTGACCAATTGCAGTACTAAATAACTATGGGACGATACAAGTAAACAACACCAAGTGAATAAAGCACATAGACTTTTAGCGACCTGTAAATAATTCATTTCTGCATTGGTTATTTGAATCTTTCCTTCGATGATAAGAATTTTAGTTGATCAGTCTCTTATTGTTATATGTGCCAATTGACTCAATATTAACATTAGGTCATAAGTATTTCTAGGCTGAGATCGATAGTGTCTAGAAGTTGAATATCAATTAATCGTAATATTGTTAACTAAATTGTTTGAAATTATCAACGAACAACTTCTTGAGATCAAATTTCTGTCGGCAATTGATAAGCTAGTTGCAATTGTTTCACAAGATATCATAACTGAACTGTTTAATATCGTAAACTAGGATTCAGCACAATAAGCAAAGATGGATAGTGGCTAGCAGTGGAATCCAGGATGCACGTTTTGTCCTTTTTGGGACTTGTCAGTTGGATGTACTTGCATCTCAATGTTGATATTCACTCTGAGACTCAAACCCAGTCTCGTTCGCTTCAAACGCCATCGCGTTATCCACTTGGACACTAAGTCCTGATAGCCTTTTGCTTGTGTATTGGGGTGAAGTTTAAATTCACATGTTATTATTTGTTTGAATATTCCCATTTCATTTCTCACTATTCTCATCAATACTTTGGAGAATGATTTATATTTTTTTCAATGATATTTATTTCTACTATTTTAACAACAAATGAAGCTTTATTACCATCATAATTAAATGAAATTCCGACTAGAAATACTCTAATACTATACAAAATTTACACTAACATCATCTAGATACTTTAGTCAACCATTTTGACGTAAAGTGTTATTTGGCAGTTTGAAAAAACAACAAAACAACTACATTGTAGTCAATATAATGTTAGCTTATACAAAATAACATAAATTTAAATGGATTCAATCACATACCATATCTATTTAAAATTGAATATAACTTGTAAAGCTTTAGATTCAATTAACAAGGCCGATGCACAAATAAGAATCTAGTCTATATTTATCTAACTAGTTAACCAACAACTGTTACTAACTAATATTAGATTACACGACATTTTTACAGTCTCATTTTACATGACATTCACAAAATTAAAGATCATACGTATAATTAGTACTTGAATATAACATGAAATTTTTGAAAACTGATTCTAGATTATCAATGTATTGTTGTTTCTTTTTTTGTTATTGTATAGATCTAGTCTAATACTTGCGGAGATAGTGATTTTATTTTATTTCATTATTTTGTTGCTAAGATGATCTTTTCTTCCCTCCTCTGTATCCCATTTCGTTTTTTTTTGAAAATTTTTTTGTACTACAGGGTAGACAAACAACACCTTACTTTTATGTAAAATATCGACGTGAATTAACTGCTACATGGTTTGATTATGAAAAAGAAAATGGTACAAAAGTAAGTTAACTTGTATAAAGAAATAGTATTACAATAATCTTATGAATCCTATAAAACTATTTGAATTTTCACAACTGACTATGTTTTGTAATTTGTTTATAATTATGAAAAACAATTGAACATGTCTTGTATTTGTCATCTATATTTATTCAAATGTTGTATATCAGTAGTTTTTTTTTAAAATTCTAGATATGTAACTTTCTAAGTGTGCTATCAATTACAAAATATTAGCTCATAGTTTTCTTATTATCAGAAGGAGTTTTGTGGAGATTTAGTATTTTCATAGTTGAAAGCATGAGTCAGTTGAAGCTAGATCACCATCGAAAACCTGGAAGCATAGGACGGCCGTTTCTTCCTATTGTTGGACTCCTCAACAGTGCGCATCCACAATCACGCCTCATGAGATTCGAACCCAGGACCTACCAGTCTCGCGCCAGAGTACTCAACCAATAGACCACTGAGCCTGCATCCGATGGCGTTTATGTCTAACTATGAGACTGATAGGTCCTGGGTTCGAATTTCGAGAGGCGAGGTCGTGGATGCGCACTGCTGAGGAGTCCCACAATAGGACGAAACAGCTGTCCAGTACTTCCAGGTTTTTCCTGGTAGTCTAGCTTTGATTGACTCACGCTCTCATAATTTTCTATCAACTGGTTTCAATCAAACAGATAACATTGTTATATTTAGTCACTCAATGTATTGGACATATTGTATATTACATCGATGGGAAATAAATCAGAACAAAGTATTTAATAATAGAATAATTTGTTGAATAATAGGTTATCAGAATGGGAAGTTTTTCAAGTACTACAGAAGGTCAGTTATTCACATAAAGCCCAGTGATATTGCCTGTGACTGTGATATTATGTAGGACGAACTTAACGCCAGCTATAGTTGTGGATACACAGTGTTAGATGTTAACTAGCCGAAGGTATAGATTCGAAACTGTTTGCCAAGTGCTTCTAATAATCTTACATTCTAAATAGAGTACACTGCAATATTTAGTCTCCAAAACTATCGGAAAATGTGATTGAATTCATTCAGTAGTTAAAACTAAATGACAAAAGTGATCAGTTGATGTAAACGTCTTATTCATTCTACATATTCTGTACCAATATTTTACAAGGGTTCTTAAGTTTAATGTTGAAGCAAAGTTTTTCCAAATACCAGGATAAAATTGACTATATTTCAGCTAACTTATATCATAGAACTATACCATATGTAATCAGGGAAAAAGATAACAGAAGGATGTACAAAGTTTCCTTTCCTGAAGATATCTACTTTTCTTATAAAAAGTTCAATAAGCAGATAATCAAAATCTTTTAATACTACTCACTTTGTGCATTAATGGTGCATCGATATATTTTGTCTTTTAAAGGGAGTAAATCATCTTCCTAAGAATTTCAAACACTCTCGGGCTTCAAAAGTTACATTTAAAGCACTAGTCAGAATGAAAAATCTGTGCTATCGATAATAATAATATCAATAATCAATTGTTAATTTCTTTTCTATTTTAGCGTCTTGCCGGTAACCAAGATGCTATGACAGAAAATTTTAATACAATGGATCCACCATTTGTAGCACGTTATATACGGATTTATCCATATAGTTTGGAACCAACTAAAACTTGTTTAAAATTAGAATTATTAGGCTGTGAAGCAAGTAAGTATATCAATTATTTCAATATTGTAAGATTTAATGTTACATTACTCAATCCTTTTATCTATGTTATTAAGTCTAAATAGTTATGTAATAAGGAAATTATTACTAAAATCTATTCAGAAATTATAATAAACTTAATATCCATCTGTCAATCGAAATTTGTTACATAATCTATTTGATAGACTAATATTTAATTAGTAGTATATTTCGAAATGTCTGCTTTGATATGTTGGCAAATGTTCTTTTCCTACTTACAACACATAATGTTGAAACAAGTAAACATAGTTGTCTCGATATTGAATGGATTTCAAAAAAGTTTTTCTAATAAGCTGTGAAATTAAATTTAAAACGAAAAAAAATATGTATAAACGATTTCCAACACAAATTGCTATCTGTTTAGGAATCATTGAACGCCTAAAAGTAGTAAATACCCTCTAAGCAAAGATCCTATCATTCATATCTTCACTGAGGATCGAAGCTAGTACATTTTGGTCTGGTAGAAAGTAGGTTACACTTAGATTAATGATTTGTAGCCAAATAAATCAAATTTCGAACCCTGTGATATGGAAACAAGAACTATATATAAAATCACAAAGTTATTCTTAGCTATAACGATAAATAAATCATAAATGTTCTTTTATCGTTACTGATTTATCAACATATCTGTTGTAATATGTATTTCAATAAAATCGGCCGATTTATTCTGATCGCTTATTTCTTTCCTTCTCATCATTTTTTTAGATGGTATTTTAGAATACAAGGCACCTGAAGGAGCATTATTACCTGAAACTATTTCTCCTTCTCATCAACAATATAATAATAATCCATCAAATGAACGTACACGTTTATTAGATACAACGTATGATTCAAAATCACATAAATTTCGTTTATTTGATAATATACAACAAGATTTTATTCATGATAAGTCATATCAAACAATCATAGAAGGTGGTTTAGGAAAATTAACTGATAATGATACAGAATTTAAAACAAGTACCAGGTGAGTTATATAACTGTAAATCATTAAATTCACTTAGTATTGTTTATTTGAACCTTCCCATTGATGTTTAGGACTACAACTGGTCAGTCTCTAATTGGCATATATGTATACTATGCGTATTGCCTCGATATAGCCTTAATTCACAAGTATTGTAAGCAAAGATGGATAGTGGATAACAGTGGAATCCAGGATGCGCGTTTCGTCTTATGTGTGACGCGTCAGCTGGATGTACTCGCATCTCAAATTTGATGTTCACTCTGGGACTCGAACCCAGTAGCTTTCGCTTCAAACACCATCACGTTATCCACTTAGCTACTGAGTCCTGATAGCCACTTGCCTATTTTTTTTATCATAAAACGTAATGAATTTTTGTGGTTCTCTCATGATAGTAAGAAGTAGAAGTTAAACTAATAGTACAATTTTATATGAAATGATACTTATTCATAAGAACAGTGGTGAATATGGCAAAATATTTTTGTAAGAGTGTGAAAGCTATAGTACTATAACTAACCTCTTCCTTTAATATTTATGTTTTGTAAACTTTAATGTAGTGAGGATAACATAAACTTTTCGAATAGTCACCAACAAAGAACCAATATCACACTGACATATTTTTCTGTAAAGAGTTTGATTTAAACCGGTAAACCTCCTGTAGGTACAATCCTTCCATCAGTATTCACTTACTTACTTATAGGATAGTAGCACCCATATTGCAATAACTTGGAGAATCACTGAACATGTATCAAAGAAATTGACGTTGAATGACCTTAGAATTACCAGTGTTAGCACATCATAAATGCATAAAATGTAAAGCATCCATGAATACCTAAAAGAATAGCAAAATGCAATAGTACAAACCAATCGTGCTTTACAGATATGGCAGTATATCGTGGTATGTCAACTATAAAATAAGGATACATAAAGTGTTCGTAATAAACACCAATTAAATGAAGAATTAGTATTAATGTTATTATTATAAGTTTTGTCTCATTATACTTGAATAAATAGTATTTTACAATTATGTACAACTAGAACAGTCAAAAGAGTAGTAAGAAAAGTCGATAAGACTTAAACTTGGTACGTTCATTAAAACAATTTTAGAAAGGTTGTAATGTATTAATATTATTTTATATTTCATCATATTTCATACATTTTCATTTGTTTTATGATTATGTTTAAGATTATTGACCTTGTTATTTTTATCATAATTTCAAAATTTAATCACCTTAGAAGTAGAGATGTATGGTGACTAGCAGTGGAATCCAAGACGTGTTTGTTCCTAGTTTGGACACGTTAGCTGGATGTACCTGCATGCCAGAGTTGTTCACTAAGGGACTTTAAACCAGTACTCAATAAGACGAAACGTGCGTCCTGGATTCTACTGCTGGCCACCATTCATTCCTGATTATATTGCTTGTGACTTAATGCAATACTCACTGGATGCACATATGCAGATAAGAGACTGATCAACTGCAGTCCTTATCATCAATAGGACGATTTAAATAGCTTATGAAAGATGAATTTAATCTCCTTAAATATCAACTACACAAGTCTTCATGCTTTTTAAGTTTCTCATATCTATTCGAATTATAATAATGAAAATAATTACTTTTGTTACTATTTCCATGATTAGTTCATCCGTTTCATCGTCCCGTGTCACGTTATTAACAAGAAATTGCACGCAACTGAATGTTTGTACAAATTATATATGATTAGTTTTTCTTCAGTAGGTTGAATTATCTTGTTAATATCTCCCCATAAAATTACTCTGTATTATTCCTAGCATAATTTGTGTAGATGTGTGTAAGGAATATATTACACACATTAAATGAAATAAATATATGTAATTTCACTGTATCTGTTGTTCTTCGCTTGCAAATATCGATGACTGTCAGTAGTATTGATCGTGTTCGATCATCCACTATTACATGCAAAAAATTAGTGATCGCCACAAAAAGTCATTAATAATAATAAAATCGATAATTGTTACTGAATGTGTACATATGCTAAAGGTTCCAAATTTATTCATTGAATATTTCGTTAACAAAGCCCCCTAATGCCTTAGTACGGTCGAGGGTGAGGAGAGTTAGGTCTCCCTCCCGAAATGCTCTCATATGGCCATGCATATACAACCACTGCCAAGAAAGTCATCGCGGTAGGGGTGTTGTTTACGAAATTGAGAGTATGAAAAGCGAATGTCAGGCGCTGTAACCGGATTGGTGGATACGAAGGATCCTCCTAGAGGAGTTGTAAGACCCTGGTACCCACCCAGTGGTGCACATGGGCTCAGGATCATGAGGAAACAAATAACGTAATAACCAATTATTGTTCACCAGCTACCATGGGACTGCATCTCGTGACGTTGCTCCATTGTATTGTGAACTAGACCTTTAGGTCGAGGGCTCCATGTGTCGCCCCCTAAGAAATCCACCTACTTCGGTATGGGCACCCTAGCAGTACCACAGCCCACACACAAATCAAGTGACTTGTGTGGCGCATATGTATTCCGTGCCCCTTTGTACCAATATTTGCGTTCAGATAAATAAATAAAACCAATTTTTAAAAGTTGATTAAACTTACAAAATATATCTAGTAAACAAATATACTTAGTTTACAACTAAAGCACAAGTTTTTCAATAACACTGTTGTCAAATAGTTTAAACGACTTCAGCTCACTGCTTAAAAATACATACAACTAGTTTAATTGTCATTCCGAACACTACACTATAATTCATTCATATATTCAACCATCAAACATATACAAATATCGATTAGTCTGAAATAAATTGTAATGAATGTATATTATTCATGTGGATATCTGTTATCATATTTTGTATATTCTTTTCTTTTTCAATTTAGCCCTTTCTCAAGCCATAAATTTATTGGTTGGAGAAGGAAATCTTCCACAAGACCTTTAAGTATGACATTATCAAATAAATCACTTGTGAGTACTTTAACCTCAAATCATAATGCAGAAATGGAATCAGATTTTCTTCGTATAATTTTTCGATTTGACATGATATATAATTTCTCGTCAATACGGATATATGTGTCAAATGATTTTTTAGTTGGTTTAACTATACCACGAAATATTACAGTTGGATTTAGTTTCCAAGATCCATCTCTTTATTATTACCGCCATTATGGTCAAAGTAGACAGCAAAAGATTGATCAGCGACAAGAACAACATGAAAAAGAAAACCCTTGGTCATCATCCATCCTTTATCAATTAACACCTGATAAACAAAACACTGATTCTCGTTGGATTGTACTGCCAATACATGAGGTGATCAGATCGAATTATGCAATACAAGCAATTACAAAACAAATATCCCATAATCCAGGACAGTTAATACAAAATAACAGTGATGTTGAACAGTTGAACATATTCGGATTAGGACAATTTGTAGAGATTAGAATATTTTTCAATAGTCAATGGTTGGCTGTTGGTGAAATTTTATTTGAAAATTGTAAGTTTATGCTGGAATAATATTTTGCAGTTGGCATAATCTTTTTTTCTTTCTGTGGTGAAAATTCTGTCCTAAATAAAGATTCATATAATAGAAATCTTGATCTTGTAAAAACTACGTTTCTATTTAAACAATTATGGTATTTAGTGGTCTTAGAAACCCTTTATTGTGGTTTCTGAAACCAAGTGAGACTATTTTAAGCATCATCTGTTGTCAAACAGATATTTAGCGGTAGTAAATTATATACCAATATAAAATGAGTATGATGAAGAACTTGAGATTTTCCAAATTACTTCATATACTACTCATTGAAATAGCTAAAGAATAGACTAACAGTCGAATTCCCTTTGATGACATGGCGTCAAGTCTAATTCTACTTGAGTAAACTTACAATATCATTTAAAGGCATAAAGATGCACGATATGATGGACCTTTTTTGGTTTATTATAGAACATGAATTATCATTGTCACCTGGTTTCGACAATTCTATAAACACTTTAACTGAACGGCGGTGCTAAGTCAATCTATTGGTTACCTATTTATATTCACGACTTGAAAGTACAACATGGTTAGCAGTGTAATTGAAGATGCATGTCTTATCACATTTATGACTTTCCAGCCACATGTACCTGGACCACTTTGTCGATGTGCACATTAGGACTAAAAATCAATCATTTCAAACTTTTAATGCATTATCCACTAAGCTTCTGAATAAAAACAGTAATCAATTTTTTCTACGGAAATGATTCAAATTTTTGCTAGTAATGATATTAATAATACCATTTCATTTCATTAGCTTCTCACCAGCTATTTACAATCTGTAATATATACAATTCAGAATTTTGAGTACATCTTAATATAAAGTATAACAAAAATGTAAACAGAGATGAAAAAATCTAAAAAAAAATGTACTTCAAATATATTTTTCATATGAAGAACATTCTACAATATTGGTAGTAACAAAAGATCATAATTCACTCAGTATTGTTTATGTTGAATCTTCCCATTGATGTTAAGGACTGTAATTTATCAGTCTCTAATTGGCATATGTGCATACTATGAGGGTATCACCTCGATATAGCCTTAATTCACAAGCATTATAAACAAAGAAGGATAGTGGCTAGCAGTGGAATACAGGACTCGCGTTTCGTCCTATTTGGGACTTGTCAGATGGATGTACCTGCATTTCAGAGTTAATGTTCACTCTAGGACTGAAACCCAGTACCTTTCGCTTCAAGCGCCATCGAGTTATCCACTTAGTTACTGAATCCTGATAACCACTTGCTTGTACAATGTGGTGGTCAATAAATAATCAGATGATAATGATAAGTAAGAATAAAATGACCAGTGAGCATTTAGTTATAATAAATTCATTAAACTTAAAGAGTCGAATACTTTATCGTTCTGCTTATATGTATATATATATACTTCATTTCTCCATTCCCTAACTATCCATCTGATCATCTCTATAGATTTTCACAATATTTTGTACGCTATTTACATACTATTTATTTTGCATTTCAAAGAGAAAAAATAATAGTAGAAACAAGAAAAACAGCGTAGAATTATCTTTAAACTCGATTAAAGACAGTGGTTGATTCTTTTTCCAAATTGATCTTCATTCTTGTTGGCCTTTTTTTCGAGTTAGTTTATCTCTCTTTTCCTAACAAAATGAAAGAAGAATATAGAAGAGATGAGCCTTAACTTAATATTGTTGTTGTAAAACAAAAATAAAAAGATATTTCATTAATCATCTAGTCAGCGGAATATGAAAAATCAAAGTAAATATGAATTCTATCCATATAGCATTTAGTGTATACTAAAAATAAATAAATATATTATTCATGCTTCTTAAACAACAGCCGGAAAAACATAAAAAACTGGACATACAACTCAAGAGAAGGCAGTGTCCTATGATCACTCCACCAATTAAGTCTACTACTATTCTTGGGACATAAAACACCGACTAGGGACTTTCAAGTAAATCTGTTCTGGTCTCTTCTTCCCAGTTGTTTCTAAGTGGTTTTTATGACTATAATGTCTGCCTTCAATTCTTGGTACCATGTGTTATTTAGTTTGCCTCTTTTACTTTTGCAATAAAAATTCCAAGTTACTGCTTGGTATATAATGTAGTTTGTTGATCTTATCCATTTCCGGAGTCGTTTCTTAATCTCCTCCTTCTTTGAAATAGATTATTACTGATGGTCCTTGGCCAATGGATCTAGTGTCATACTTGGACAACTATTTTATAAGTCCCTGTATATTTGTGTTGATGGTAGTTTCTCAAGTTCCTGCTTTGTACAGTAGAAACGTTTTAACATTACTGTTAAAACTTATGGCTTTGATCTTACGTGACAATTCTTTTAAGTTCCGTATATTCTTCGGTTGTAGAAATGTTCCCTTTTCTTTACCAACTAGTGTCTTTGCGTCTGGATCTGACACCTCTTATTTACCATTTTGTTGATAAACTAACTCGCACACACAACATAAGACTTAACAATTAAGCCTAGGGTAGGAGTGATGGTGACAATCTTCTCAGGTACTCTATAGGGTCAAATAATATTCCACAAGGTTTTCTTATCTCAACTCTTGAGCGTTTTCTCATATTCAGTGGATTTGATGTATGATGGTGAGTTTCATTCAGCTGACTATTCAACAATAGTCTAGAGTGTCACGACGTGTTCAGTACATGACCAATATTTACGAAATCAAGCCTGCTAATCTCAAAGTTGGGCGTCCAATAATTTTCTCATTTGCTTTCCCAACAATCTGCCGAAATATTTTCTTGGAATGACCACACAGGCATTAGCCTGTGTTGTTTTTACACTTATTGAGTCTCCATACTTCGGTACTTTAGTGAATTATCCCTTTTTACAGCCTGTCGGTACTTGTTCTTTCCCCTAAATCTGTCTGAACAGAATGTGAAGTGTCTTTGCAGTTATTTCTATATCTGACTTCAGCTCTTCAGCTGGCATGTTGCCTGGTCCTACAGCTTTGACATCCTTGATTTTGTGTTTAAAAGGAAGGCTCCATTAAACTTTTATAATGTTGGTTGTCCAGTTTTTTAATACTTGCTTATGTTCAATCTTAGCTTAGCCACCACCAGGTGATGATCTGTAGACGTATCAACTCTTCTCTTCTGTCTTACATCTCCATGGACTTTTTAAATTTTTACTTATATGTATGTAATAAATCTGGTTGTCTGTGATGCGATCTTGTGAAATCTATGTAACTTTGTACCTGGATTTTTGTTGGGAAACGCTGTCACCAACTATCATATTGTTGAAAACACATAGATTTACCGATCTCTTGCCACTCTCATTAATGTATCTCAATGCAAGCCGCTCTATGACGACGTTATACCCAGTGTTGTCGATCCTGACATTGCCACTTAGGTCCCCCATTAAGATGACCAATCGTTCTCCTTGACATTCCTCTAGGATGAACTCCAACCTCTCATAAAATTGCCTTTATAACCTACACTGCTATCGTTCGCGGTAAGTGGAATGGTAGCTCGATGGTTAAGCCTTTTGATTTGCAACCACTAGGACCCTGCTTCAGAATCCTCTATACGTACTTCATTTTGAGCGGTCGGGTAATATCATCAGCCTTTACACTTAAAATGTGGCTCATACTCAGTTGGTGGGTGTGTATTCTTGATTCCACTCACTGTTATCCTATCCTTTTTTGTTTCGAAGAATACTTTGATGATTTTGGAACAATGAGAATTCTGTCCAACAACAAATCTTGTGAGGCTGTGGAAATAACTAGTGCAACTACTTCTGTATGTAAGACAATATATTTGTTGTGATCAGAATACAATAAAAGCTCTGAAGTTATTGTGCCCAATTAGTTTTGTTTGTCCCAAGCAGAGTCAGGTTGTAACTTTTCATTTCTGTGACTGCATGAAGGACCCTCCAATTCTCAGAAATGTTTCTGATATTCCATGTTCTAGATTAATCGTTACTGTAGTTATCAGAGGGCCATCAGCCTAATGTTTTCTGTATACTACTTACTTTCACTTCGAGGCCTCATAACATTGCTTTATAACGACACTTCAATTCCCATAGTCTAATAGATTTAACTATTTAACTCTGGCTGGTATTTTTGTATCGAGGTTCTTTTTAATGAGTGGGGTCTGTAATCTTACTCTCAACCGTTTTCTTTTTCTTGTGGTATCGAACCGGCAGAACCCCAGATTGGTTCTGAGGCGAGTTGTCGATTCACAATTGATTGCATGCAATCTATAAGTACTAACCCTAAAATAAAATTTGGTTAAGTTTTTAGCATACATCAACTCTAAAACAAATTCCTTTCTTTTTGATGAAGTTTAAATAACAGAAAAGTGACAATAAGTACTATGAATATTAAGAAGTAGAAATTAGATAATTCAACTTAATTAATGAAACGTTAATTTACTGAATTTGATTTGATTTATCGTAAGTATACACGTTTATGTATAACTAATGAATTACTCTTCACTTCAATAAAGATATTGATGTAGATATTTTCATTTAGGGAATTAGTTTAAATTTAACATATAAGCAATCGAATATATTTGAATGTTACTTTACATAATCTACTAGTAAGTTCTGAGAACCATAAAGTAAATACTTCATTTTCTAAAAATGTCAATCAATTGTCTTAGACTTTATTGTTCCTTCATTTCTTCACCAATCATTTTCTGTTCTCGTTCTATTTTCTTTGATTTTCTTAATCTTCTGCCTCCAGGTATTTTACTTTCGATTGATGATACATACTACTTATATTAGTCGACATCAGTAGCACACACCATTCTTGTATTCACAAGAAATAAAGTCTATTGCGGTAAATTAAAACATTGTAAATTCAATGATTTCTTACCAATAAAAATCGGTAATATCGATCATTTTATTGCTGTATCATGGGAAAATGAAGTGCACTTGTTTACGACAATGGAGTCACTGGTAAAAGCTTTCCAAATTCAAAACTCAGAAAAAAATATATATATGAATATGGTC